TTTTCTTTTTTTTTTTTTTTTTTTTTTTTTTTTTTTTTTAAGAAAGGAGTCTCTTGTTGCAAAAGAAAGTAGGTAGAGGAAGGCAGGATGCCTGGAGATATACGGAGAATGAAGCTCTTTATTTTAAAGAAACTTTCAAATTCTGGAATTTCTTTAAGCTTGGGATCAAATTCTGGAGCAAATTCTGAAAATGCAGAAATGACCCACAAAAGAGAATGATTTTTTTCCCGTATCATAAAAAACGAAGAAAAAAACTAGAACAAAATATCAAAACATTTTATTTAAAAGAGGGCATTTTTTCCCCTTCCTAAATAACATTTTAGAGAAACTGCTGCCGTGCCGCAAAGCACAAACTGAACTGTGTTTTTCCACCAGTAAATTACCATCAAGAGTTTCCAGACAGCTCTAGAGCAGCAGTTTATTATATGCACAATGCTTCAGTCACTGAAGGAATTGCACACTAACTCTACCTTCCATTTGTGGAAACTGTCGTTGCTCTGGAGGCCAATTCGTCCCATGAGAACAGCTCAGACTTTTGCTTAAGAGGTTTGTCACTAGAAAAAGGAAACATTGGTAAGATATGACCCGATAGTGTTTATACTGTATCATCATAGGACAGTCTACTGACATTTAGTTAGGAGGGGCAGAAAAATGGGGCTAGCCCAATACAGCGGGATGGCAAAGGTCAGCCTTCTAAGTACTGTGGGCCTGATTCCAGCTCATGGGATACCCAGAGAAATACTTTACTCTCTGCAGTGACGTACGAATAACCTCTTTGCTCGGGTGAGCACAAGTACTCCAGGACAGCTGCTCTCTGTCTGTTCATGGGCCAGAGTAGCCTTCTTACAGGTCCACCAGTGGGACCTCTTTGTGCCCAACCACACCCACCATTCATTCCCCCAGACCTGTTGAAATGTGTGTTTGTCTCCTTCCCTGCCAATTATGTCTCTCCGGTTTTAGGTAGCATAAATAATGAGGCATCCTCTAATTTCTTTGGGAGACTGACCCACAATTAGGAGCAGCTATGATCTAAATGACCCTTAACCACAATGAGTGCCTTATAATCAGGCCTTCCCCACAATGATATATTTATCCTTTATATCCTATTTATATTTAGGCCTTGGCTGAATGACCATTATGACAATCCAGCTTCTACATTTTCTCCAGAGCTTGAGCCTTTGTTTCAGTCTGAGATACTGTTTTGGGGATGATTCTAGTTTTTTCTTCACTGATAGAGATGGAAAGTGTGTTGCACTTAACTGTACATGCTATAGAAACTCATTTGGTAAATCTAAAAGCTACTTAAGCCCAACACAGTGAAAGGTGAGGATAGATGGACAACCTGGTCTGCTGCAATCTAGACAGAGCCAAAAATTCTGAGTGATAACACTGAGAACAAAGAGAGTCCTGCTTACATGGAATTTATTTCAGAAATCTGAAATAGATTTCTGTGTACAATCCAGAGAAAGGAGATTACTGGACACGAGCATACAAGCAGGGAGTGATCTCTCTCAGCAGGGCTAGAGGATATGACCAAGATTAAATTCAGAGGCATCTGTACAGGCAGAAACAACAGAGTCCCTTGGGCAGAACTAGCTAACTGCTCCACTGTTCAGTCACTAAGTGAAGAAGTGCTCTTCCCTGGAGAGGAACTACCTCTTCCTCAGAGGAAATGGGGAAAACAAATGACACCACGTAGGACACTGTCTCCTGCCCAGAGTATGTGTGAATCTAGACCAGCCAGGAGCACCCAGGCTTGGTGCATGTGACACCTTCTGTCTACAGCTAGGCTGGGTCCATCTGCCTTTGCTTCCCCCTCGGAGGTCCCTTCAGATGGCTCAGTCACTTTGCCACTGAAGATAATCAGGATAAATTTCCTGATGTGTATTTGTTCATGCTTTCCTAGACATACAGCCCAGGACTCCCACGGGGTGAAAGATGCACATGGACTAAAGTGCTGAAAACAACATTGGCACTTCTGAAATACCATATAAACTGTCCTAGATCTGCCAGGTTCCTCTTTCCCAATGTACACCAAAAAGATGGCAGGGGTATTCAGCATGTCTACTGTTATTTGATGAAGATATCTAAGTCAGGAGACCATACACCCTGATCATGCCTCTCTCCACTCCCAAGGTCAATAGAGAGAGAGGGCCACCTCCAGGAGCAGTGTGGATTTGTGGGCTGAATCACACTCCAGAAGAGCCTGTCTCAAACAACAAAAGAGCAAGCCTTGAGCAAGCAGGATCCTCAGGTGAGCGCTCAAGGAAGGAGAGCCGAGTCTGCGTCCTGTCATTTAAGGGGCCTGACACTTGACTGAGTGTGTGACCTTAGCTGTGAGCTCCCTGTCTCACCTGTGCAACCACACAGCGTCAAAGATCTGGGGAGCTCTGTCCCCAGCACCTGTCCCCATGCCTTTCAGTTCCTTCTTTCTTAGTTTCCTCCATATCCCAGAATACTTTATGCTTTCCCAATGTCTGGCCTTCCCTGATCACCAGCAGACTTTCTGAAGGGGGCAGAGGAAACAGAACAGAACCAACATTAGCAGGAGCCACCAGTGACTCAGGCTCAGTGTTGTACCACATAGGCCTTGTACTACAAAGGCCATGGAAGAAGCTCCCTGAGGAGGGCAGCGGGAGGGCAAACGGAGCAGTAAGAAAAGTATAAAGAGATTCTTTAGGGACTGAGCCAGAGAGAAGAACCCCTGAGGGAGATGAGAAAAAAAACTGATGAGTTGCAGCCTAGCCAGCAGACTATGCTCTTGGAGAACAGCCCAGGACCATAACTGGAGAGATCCCATCTGTTTGAGATCACTAGCAGGTATGTATCATTTCTGAGCAAAAAACGGGGTTATGCTTTATGTTCCGCAGCATAGATGAGTCTTTCTCAATTTCTTACCCGTCCCCATGCTGTGACTCAGTTTCAGACGAGAATTTCCCATTAGGGGCCTGTCTGTTTTCACCATTTATATGGCAAGGTGCTTGTTGGAAGTATATGTGCAGTGCAGGGACTGGATTAAAATGAAAGCCTGACCAGTTTAGGAGACAGAAAGCTCTGCAATTTCTGTGTTCTTAGTCTGATCAGAAAGAATGGGGTGATGTTTGAGCTGTGGGAGGCCCACAGCTTCCAAATGGGTATATTTTCTCCCAGATTACTAATGCTTTTGTAGAGTGCTGCTTTCTTAGTAGCCCCACGATATAGTATTTATTGTTTTGTGACTGCACAGTGTCCAGAACAATCAAGTGTATCTGGGCAAATAAAACAAAGCAGAGCCAAACTCATCGGTCCAACATCTCTGCTGCTATCATTAGTGGAGTTTTAGGAAGATACAGAGCCAACAGACCTACCTGGTTTCAGAACAAGTGGAGATTCTCTGTGAAGTTTCACTCAAGGATGTGATTGTTTGGGTCTTACTGCCTGTTTCAGTGCTGCAAGAGAAGGCAAAGAGAAAAACTGTCATTCCTGAGCAAGCTGGCTCCCCATTGCAGCTAGCCAAAATTTTCCTGTACTGAAATGGTCCTTTCTGTGAACAAATAAAATCAAAAAGAAATATCACTGTCTGCAATACATTCACTTACAAAGTAGTCTTTATCATGAGCAATTTTAAAATTAAAAATACTGATATTACCATGAATATTCATCCTCTGCCAGTGAGACGCAGAGAGGAAACATAACAACAAAAGGTCAGTGACCAAAGCACTGTTTTCAGTGCTGCGGAAAATCATTCCAACATTTTTTATATCACAGTCAGGAACTCGGACAAACAAACAGACAAAGCTGAAAGCACCTGAAAACCTGAAAATGATTCCACTATACCCAATTGGTGAGAAAGAGTTCAGCAGTTTTAGCTTTCCCCCCTTCCCAGAAATTCCTTTTGGGTTTTGACCTCTTCTATCAGCATAGTGTCAGATGATTGCAGACCATATGTGGATTTCAGACATGAGATCTTTTTAAAATGGCTGCCTGTGTCTAAGAAAAGCATTCCATGTATGAGGCTGACAAGGTTGCTGCACTTTACCTTCCAGAGACGCGCTCACTAAAGTCTCTGACTTACAGCTACATGTGGGCTGACACAGCAGCAAAAGATGTCTAAGATATCCGAGCTGTACTAAAACATTTACCTGATGGGAGATATTGCTGTTGTCCTTGGCTCATTCTGGGAAGACCCAACTGTGTTTTTATCTAGACTACTAATACTGACAAGACTCCCCCAAAGGAGGAAAGTATGAAAGACAGAAGATTTTTTTGTTGCATTCTGCCATGGGGACCCATCTTGCCTGCCTGCCCACAGCTCTTGTGTCTGTCTCCTGGGCAGTGAGAAGCCAGACCCTGCTGCGTAAGGATCCACACCAGCAGCTGTCCCTGTGCAGAGTCGCAACGATGTGACTAACGTCTGCCTCTCTGCTGAAATGCTTGCTTGTTAGAAACTGGCTTTTCCTATTTAAAACAGCTGTGCTTGTTCCTATCCCCAACATTTGAGTTTGCTCTAAAAAACAGCTTCCCCAAATGTCCAGATTAAATTTCAGCCTAGTCACAAAATTGTTTTCACAATGTGCATACGTATAATATGTGAGGAAGGGAGGGCAACTGCTTCCCAGCCATGCCTCAGACCTGTACCGCAATGGCACAAAATTGCAACTGAAATTCATGAGGCAGCTCCTTCATCCTGAAAACAAAGCGCACTAGGCTGAAAGGCCTCATCTACTGGACTCCCTGCTGGGCCCACTAAGGACTAGTGTGGCAGAGAAGCCAATAACGCTGCTGCCTGGCACCAAGCCATCCCTCAGAGTGGGAATAGAGCGCTGAATCTTGAATTAAATGAATCTGCTTGAAAACAGAGCAGGATTCTGCCTCCTATGACAAACGTTTCCACCTCCACTCAGTCTCACTCAGCCCCACACCACATGCCAGAGGTTCCTGACCAGAATGGACTAGGAGAGGATGTCACTGCTTCTCCTTTATGTCAGAGGCAGCCTGTCCCAGGCCCTGCATGCCACGGCAAGAAAACTCCAGCCTATCTGCCACAGCTCTGTATGGCTCTGCATTCAGGGTGGCTTGAAACGAGGCTAACATTTACTGCGAAAGCAAAAATCCATTTCAAGATAATGAACCTCTCAAATCTCTCAGGTCACACCTATCTGTTGCTATTAAGGCAGAATAATTAAATCTAAAGTCTAACAAAAGCTGTGAGCTGGCACAGGGGACTGGAAATAATGAGATATTGAGTCTTTCATGCCCAGGTGATAGGGTCAGTTCATGCAGCCAAGGTTGCTAGTAAAAGAAAAAACATTACCATCTGATCATTGCTTGATGGGGAGGTGAGCTCATTAAAACCTGCCCTGACTCTTATTGCGGGCTGTTTCTCCAGGATTGATGCCAGGCTCACTCCTGTGGCATATGAGCACCTTGTGAACACAAGACTGATTTGGGCTGTGGAGTGTGAACACCCTTAAGCCTTCAGATCAAGCGAGGGGCCCTGTGGCAGGTTTACATGCAACTTATGCGAGAGCTGGCCTGTAGTTAAACGCAGTCTGTCGCTCTCCAGGGCTGTCAATTGGGTAACTTCAGATCCTCTGGCCCTGTCATCATGCCTGCCCATTTGTTTCCCTGAGTTAGATCATATTAGTTTTCATTTTGGATCCTTCTCTTTTTGCAAGGAAGAGGCAATCAGGATCTTCTGGGAAGTGTCTTTTGAGAAACCTTGAGAAACCTCTGTCCCCAGCTGTGTTCAGCCAGCCACCTGGCAGTTAAATGCAGCATCTGTAAAGATGGCAAGTCAGTGGAACCTAACATCAGAGACGGTCAACACATTACTCCAGGATGAGGCCAATACCTGTTGCCATCTGGTGTAAACTTGCATGAATCAGACGCGGTTGAACTCCTCCTCTGCTGTCCTTCTTCTTCTATTTCAATTCTTTCAGAAGGCAAACAGAGAGAGAAATATTACATTGCTTCCTATTCCCCACTGCCAACTAATCCAAGCAGTTTATTTTTGTTTTCTCTTAAGCTATGCTTTTCCTCTGTTTCCCTTGGGGACATATTTTCCCTGCTCCTTATGCTCCATGTACTCTGTTACTGGTGAGTATCTCAACTGGCTGAATTAAGCGAAACTTTCAGCCCAAGTCAATGACATTCTTCTGTCTGCCACAGTCATTTTACAAATGGCATCAGCTGATGCTTCAGTTTCAGAAAATGCCCTGGGCATCATTTCCCTAGGGTACTGACTGCTTTAGAAGTTAAATGCCTGAAGAACACTGGCACTGCTGGTTAGAACTAGCTTCCCCTGGAAGAAGAAAGGCAGTGAACAAGACCATGCAATCACTCCTTGCTTTAGGTTGCCCACAACTCAAAGCATCATCAACACTGTAGTCTCAATGTTTACGACACTGCAGGCTCTGAAAAGCCAGCATCATTCGGCCCAAAGAATTCCCCTTTTCAGATAACTGTCCCTCCTCCACTTTGAAACACCTGGGAACCTCCTATCCCAGCATTTAACAGTATCCCTGCTACTGTACACAGTCACACAGCCCCAGCAACGTTTCCAGAGCAGAAACAGTGACCTACCTCTTGGCGAACAAGGGTGGGAATTCTTGTGTTGGGCTGCTGCAAAGGAAGCACAAGATAACAGTTAGAGAAGACTTTGGAGGCAAAATCTTGGGCAGGGGCAGCTCCCAAGGCGGACCCACAAGTGATTCGTACGGTGCAAGGTATTAGGGATCACATAGCACCGTTTGGGCAGCATTGACAGTGACTGGATGTGTTAGACCTGTGTGAATTATAAAGCAGATAAGAAAAACATAGGAAGAGCAGCCGGTTAAAATGTGAAGTAAAGGAGTTTCCCCAAAGGCCTTTTTTGATTTTATACCTTCCTGATGGTTGTTTTTCTCCCTGCACACAAACATGCCTCCCCACACACCACACCATCCTCAGTGCATCAGAGAAACTAGTGGCCAGTGCAAACTCCCTTCTTAATGCCCTTATGAATCCTACCCAAGAATTTCTTTCATTCTGGGCACTGTCGAGCGCTGCTGGGACATCCCCTCCCTGCTTCCCCCTGCACTAGCAAGCTCCTGGTGCCTCATTGTGTCACCCTGAGTTATGCCGGGAGGAAAAGGATTCACACTGAAAGGGAACTGCAAAAAGCTCATCATAACAGTTCCTGGGAGATCAGAGATCTTGGAAATCTGCCTTTCTCCTCCCAAAAAAAAGAGGGACAACAGAGCCTCAGACACCAGCAGCTCCCACACACCCTTCTACACATTACTGTTAGGTTTTGTTTGTTTGTTTGTTTTTACAGAATTACTTTGAAGCTGCAACTAACATCAGGTATTGCTGAAACACAGCGTAAAGTCAGACTCTGTCCCAAAAAGCTGATCCAAACTGGATGCAGTTTCTTACAGTGGTCTCTATTTTTTCTGGCTTGCTCCTTCCATCCCACTTCCTGCGATGAAACTGGACAGAGGACGAGTACTAAGAACTGAGTCTGAAAACTTGGGTCTAAGTTGTCAGTCCCAAGGAGTTAGGGAAAATTATGATTTTTCTCTTCCTTCTCACCCCCCTCAGTAGGAGAGGCTTCTCAAGATTTCTAGAATATTTGTCCAGTTCTGCAGAAACCAGTGAATCTCCTTGGTACTTCCAGATACCTGGCAGCTACATCGTCTCCACTCAATGGAGAGATACGCATCATCTTCAGCGAGTCTTTGGATCAGGCCACCATCCCTTTGAGACCATGTTCAGCAGCCTCTTCACTGTCTCCTTCCCCCAAAATTCCACCCTGAAGACTCACCCGTTGCTTTTCTTGGCTGCTGAGAGGACATAAGCACGTTCTCTGCTGGCAGTGCGTCTCAGGACACTGTTGGCTGCCTCTGTCCTGGAGGGGAGGGAAGGAGTCACGTTCTGCTCATGCTGCTAGTAGCTGCTGAGTGTAGGGCTTGAAGAGACTATAGGTGAACAACCCAGTGAAGGCTTGTGCTGACCCGGACAGAGCTCCCATGCTCTGGAAAGATTCTGAAATCCAGCCAGAGCTTAGACAAGTAACAATGTCTTATCTTTTTCCCTAGTATAAATCACGCTCTTCATACTGGGCCACAGTGCTGTCTCATAAATGTAAAGCGTCAGACAAAAAAATCACTCCTCCTCCAGGAGGGCAGAGGGAGCTCCCCTTCTCAAAACCTGGACTGTGGACAATATAACATACCACGGGACCAAAAAACGGGGCTGCAGGCTTTGCAGCTGACATGCTACATGGATTGCACGTGCCTACGCAGATGTCAGTACCATCAAACGTACCCAAGGGGAAGTGCTGATCTCAAAAACAAATTTCTAGGGGGTCTATCTCCAGTGGGCAGATCCCTAAGTTTTCATTTGTAAAAGTCCTGCATCTGAGAAAAACATTTTTAGAAATACAACAAGGACTTTTAGAAAGCAACAAGGGCTCCGGTTGCTTCAGGTGCTGTATTCCAGGCAGATCCGCCTGGAAAAAACACATCCTACTCGTGATGTGAGAATGAGATACCAATCTGGATCCAGATTTAGACGAAGGTCCCCAAGTGGTCCAGACTCAAAGACGCATGTGTAGACTGTGGGAGATGGATTGCTTCCTTTACTGCCAGACTATTTGTATGTTTCTATCTTTTCACATCCACAGTATACACTTGGTGGATTCCACAACCCAGCTCCAGCTGCCAAATTAATTGGGCTACGCTGTCAGGTTGAATCATGTCAGGCTTTTAATTATATTTTGTTGGGAGTGCAGCCGCCTGTGGGCATGGATGCGCTCTGTGTAGAAATATCTGCTTATTATTATTTTATTGCAATCAGCCCTAATGGGTCAGCTGTAAACGTCATCAAATTGACCCTCCCAGTAATGAACAGTTAAACCAAAGTAAGTCCACTTGCTACTGCCCCTGCAAGAAAATAAGGGTCCTCTGCAGGGCATACCTCTTTTTATGTTCATCTGGAGTAAAAGGCACATCCTCTTCATCCAAGTCCAGTGACCTTTGCTTGACGTTATATGGAGCTCTGAAATACGAAGGGAAAGGGAGAACCAGAGTGAGGGAACTGCCTCTGTAGACTGTTTAAGAGGCAGCACAAACAAAACCCTAAATAATCCAAGGGTAGGCCATGTAGAAACGGGTTCAGGCACCAGAAGCGTTGCACAGGAGCGGGGAAGACACTAGTATTTTTCATGCACATTGGAGTACACATGTCCTCATAGGATTTTGTTTTCTTAGTGCAGGGGTTAAGGCTTGAAGGAGGTTAATGTTAAACGCTCAGCTGCACTTCAATAGTAGAGGCAGTCTTTGACACGAAAAGCTGTGTAGAAAATGTCAGGAGGCCTCTCCTTTCTGTTCTGCCAGGAGGTCTCTCCTTTCTCCTGGTTTCAGAAAGGCCAGGAATGCTACAAACCAAGCCTGCAGGCTGCATCCTCCAGTTTCTGCCTTAGTTTAGATCAAGTAGTAAAATTTGCTCCACACAAAGGCCACTACCAGGCCAAGGAATACCTTATGGCCCAGACAGGCCTGCAGGTAGCACCAGGAAGTGATTCACTTTCAAGTGAAAGCTTTACAATGCTCAGTCGATCAAGTGATCAGCCTGGCTGGGCATCCACAGGCAGGCAGCTTCATCACTGAGGCTCAAGTGCTGCTGATCTCCTGCAGCAGCTGCTCAGTGCATGGAGAGAAAACATTGTTCCCCTTTGCATACTCACAGTTTCTTGTAATCCTCAGTTGTCATCCTGTAGCCAGAGGAAGAACGACACTGGTTGGATCCCTTCACTGCAGTGCTGCAGACAGCACAAACCACATCTGTTAACATGGCTGTCCTGAGGTCTTACCCTTTGCCACCCTCTCCCCCAGGTGGACTCCTGCTTCACAAGACAGGGAAAAACAGGGTGATCCCAAAGATTCAATCTCTGAATTCAGGGAATGCCATTTAATGGAAGGGCAGCCACACACCTTGTGGCATCATACTTCTCCCCAGCTGAATCAAAACAGGGGGAAACATGGGGTTTTAAGAAGTTTGACTTGAACTGCAGCAAAGCATCGGCTGAGATCAAAGCTATGCTTAGATCTTATTTTCTAAAACTAAATGCAAGTGCCTCTCACAACAAGGTGGGTTTAAAACAACTGACATTAGAAACGTCAGAATGAAGTGTTCCAGCCTTGCAAGGACTCTTTTTAATTTGTCCCCCAGTCAAAACTGCTTGCCAAATTAAGCCCAAATCTGTGAGTAGTTTCACAGTCAACTGTCCTCCCATACTTTGGTGAAAGAAATGCAGACTTCGATGCCATATCTCTTTCCCGTGTCATCTTAGTGGGCTGTTCATTTAACAGCTCCTGTCTTCCAGGGTTTAGTAGGGATTTCAAGGAGCTCAGTGGACTCTTACAAGCAAAGGCCAAGGCAAAAGGATCATTAGAAATATATACAATATTTAAAAGCTCAGTTTCATGGATAACATGAAGACGCACAAACCTTTTCTGTGCTTCTTTGGAAGATGAATCTGGCAATGAAGGAGTCTTATCAATGGTTCTTGTGAATACTCCCCTGGAGAGAAAAGAGACATGCTAAATTTGTTGCAGGGTAGAGTCTGGAACCATGACTAGGAGAGACATGCAGCCATTCTTTGGCCAAATAGTGTCTGTGTGCCCTGTCGGGAGCAAGCTGCTGGCTCAGGACCCAACGAATCAGTATGTGCTTCCTTGAAAGAGTCATCTTGAGAAAAGTCTCTGCTTTCCTACTCCATAGCCTTTGATAACACTGTAAAATCAGCTCCCACGCAGGCTTAGGTATGGCATCACAGGACTTGCCAACCAGTTTGGGATCAGGCAGGCATCAGATTCTCTGTGGGCAAATACTGATGTGTCAGAGGAGGCTGAAAAACAAGAGCCCCATCACCAGTGCTATGCTGATCAGGTGGAATGTTTTCACAGCACACGCATCCTCCCATGTGTGAACGTTGTATTGTTCAGAGGAGATCTGATTTTCTGTTAACATGACCATCAAACTAGATGGTGTACATGATACCCAAGAATATCTTTTCACCAAATGACTCCTTGAACATCACCATATTTCCAGCTAATAGAAGAGTCCAAGAGAGCAATATTTCTCATGTTTGTTGCTCCTCAACTAGTTCTCCTTCTCTGTCCAAGTGCTTCTTGCCATTCTGTATACCAACCTGATGAGGTAACCGGACTGAGGCTTGGAGGCAGAAGACCTGTGCAAGGAATAGACATCAGTGAATGGAAAACACACAGGGAAAAACAATAACAGCAGCAGCACCAGTACTAGAAGGAAATCTCCACAGGACACAAGGTTGTCACGCCAACAATCTAGCCAGATAAGCCTTGGGTAATAGCTCAGATACTGCAAGAAAATTGACCTCAGAGGGGTACTTTGAAAATGAATAACCATCACAACATGCTCCACAAAAAGTTCTATCAGAAAAACAAATTTTAGTTAAAATTAGCCACACTGACGGTGTCTGCTAGCTCAAATATAAATCCTCAGATTGAAGACACAGAGGTGGAAAATTGAATATAGATCTTTGATGTTTTGTCACAGGAAAACATCAGCTTCACAGTAACTTTTCTGAGTGTCTGTTCTTAGGAGAGGAGTGTAGCATAGCTCCCTCAGAGAGAAAGGAAAGAGATACCATTAGGTGGGGATATGACCCCTTGCATCAGGGCAGGAAGAAATGTTGTCCCTGGAACCTGCTTCAAGGCTGGGTTGGAGAAGTCTTCATAAGAGCAAGGTGGGGACCACGATGGCCAGACCTCAGGGACTGAGATCCCATTAAACTGGGCACACAGCCTCCCTCCAACCCTGCCTGGATACTATCCCCTCTACTGCCTGCCTGTCCAGTGCCCTTAGGATCATAGGATAATTCAGGTGGTAAGGAAGTTCAAGAGATACACGGCCTAACCTTCTGCTCAAAGTAGGGTCAGTCATGATGTCAGACCTTAGCAGGAGGGCAGGATTACACTGCTTACCACTGTGTATCTGAGGTGACTACCAAGCTCAGAATTATCTTTCCCCCATCACAGATGCAGAAATGCACGAGTTTGCTCGCTGCAAGTACAGCCTAGCTCTGGAGCTCTCAGAATGGGATGAGCTGGAGTACGATGAATGCTGGGCACAGTCCCAAGCTCTTGCTCCTGTGGTGTCCTCCAAACAGGCACCATTGTAGCCCCATGCCCTAGCCGTCCCCAGAGCACTGTATTTTGAATGAGAGCCGCAGGGAGGCTAGCTGTCACCCAGCTTGGCATGCTACTGCCTGTCCTCACTTTGCAGCATGAACAGATCCAGACTATCCTGGACTCCCTGCCATTTGCGTGGTGCTGACTTCAGTCCTTCATACATTTGTGTGAGGCGAAGATGTCCCTTCAGGTGTCATATTTTCAATGCCACAAATAGAATTTCTGTTAGTTTTTATACTGTGACCAATAGGCACAACATTGCCGAGGGAGGCAGACAGGGTTGGGCATGCCAGGCAAACCTTCCTAATTGCAACAAGAAATGACAAGAGCTGGCACAGCAAAAGGGAGAATAAGCAGGAAACCTCTCAGGGGAGATAATAATGCTTTCCCAACAACGGCACCTCAGCTAGCAAGCAGCTCACACAGCAGGCTAAGCCCTTCCCAACAGTTTTACATTTTAGGACTCCAGTCCTACAAGCTCTTAGGTCCCCGAAGGGCCATTGTGCTCTGGGTCTGAAGCAACACCGGACTCCCACAGAAGGCTTCTCTTGCTGTGAGGAGCCCCCAGGCTCAGAGCATACTGATATCGTATCAGCACAGGAGCCAACTTGCAATGGTGACCTCATGGGATCACAGCCTTGATGGCAACCATTCCTCCACATCAAGGACATCCATCCATCCATCCATCCATCTCTCCATTCATCTATTTGGAATTTGTAGGAGCTGAGCCATGCTTGGTATGAGGTGAGAATTTGTAAGACATTGTACTGAACAAAGCAGGCTTACCTCAGGGACTATATTTTTGAACACAATCACAGCAGTGAGTGGGTATGGGGAGGTGAAGAAACACCATACACTGGAGAAGAACCAATAAAAACATTCACTGATCCCATGAGGTAACGCAGAAGTAAAGTGACAGGAAGGGTCCCCCAAATTACCTGTCGCTCTGGGGTGCTGAGACTGAGGATCCCCCATCAGCCCGTTCAGACCTGAGTAAATAGGAAACATAACCACGTAATAAGCTTTTGATCTTATTTAGACTTGCCAAACACAGCAATGATGTTTTCTGAGAGAGCTGCTAGGAGAAGAGCAATTTAGGCTTGGTCTTTGTTTCTAACCAAACAGAGTCTGGTGCAGAGCTATCCCCTGGGCCAGGGATAGCTGCATGTCATACCTCTGTGAGCTGCAGGGGGAGATGCAGACCTGGCTGGATTATGTCACTTAGAAAGTCCCTCCCACCAAAGGAATCTCTGTCTGCCCGTTTTTTTTTTTTTTTTTTGGTCACTCCAGAAATGGTGAAACAGAATCTGACTTCATGCAACTTTGCAGTTCTCCTGAGACTTCAAATCTGCCTGCGCTGTTGGATTCGCAGCTCCCAGAAAAGGCCGTTTCTCAGTGTTTCTCCTCAGCTGTATTTATCAAAAATAAATAGGAACACTACATCCCTTTGTCGTTGTCATTTCCTGTCATCGTGGGGACCCCGCACCATGCCAGCTCCACATGAGCTTGTCCGATAGACTGGAGAACGGAGTGCTCATGAGAGGTAGATGAGGGAAAAGGAAGGGAGAGGAAAAGCACTTCTCAGGGGCCATACTTACAGCGGGCTGCTCTTCTTCTCCTCTTCAGAATCTGAGTTCTGGTGATGGATCCAGCTCTTATCCCCTTTCAGCGTGGTGCGAACCTTCATCTGCTTTATGATCCTCCTGCGGTCCTCATCTGTAGGTGGAATCACACGTCCTAGGAGAAGCAAAGGAGAGGAAGGAAAGGAGAGAGTGGAAGGGTCACAGAGAAAGAGCAAGAATTCACAGCGTTTGCAGGTGAGCTGAGGGCAAATCTCTAACAGCAGGGAGCACAGATTTCCTTTCAGTCACAGAGATGAAAGCACTGAACAAGTCTTTTACTACTTCTGATGGAAGATGGAAACAAGTTGTCATCTACACTTCAGGATCGATTTACCCTGGCTTCCCTGGTGTAACACTTCCTCTGCAGAGATTCGTACAACTTTTTTTTTTCTCCTTTCAGAGGACTGTTTAACATTAATGAATCATTTTCTTTCAGGAAGACTAAAGACATTCAGTCGGTGGTCTAATCACAGATTTAAAAAGCAGTGAGTTTCCTCTGGTGTTTCCCATTAGATCAGCCTTTGTGTTTGCTGGAGAGGATAATAATTCTGGAGCATGAAGTTAGGCCAAGGTTTGGGGGATAGAGATTAGCTATAGGATGCGAACACGCCGTGCTCAGCTTTGTCTTGTGTCCTGTCAGGATTGGAGGAGACACATACTTTGGTTGCTCATTTCCACATGTCCATTGCCAAGTGCAGTTTCAAACACATATCGTCAATCCATTTCTCTCTAAGGGCCCAGATCTCGAGATGTCTTATCCTGTATGGTCTTTGCTTTAGGATTGTGATGTTAAATAGCAACTAAGCCCTCATCCCCACTCTCTTCCTTGTCTCTGTTCAGACAATGAGCCATAACCACATTCTCTGCCTAAGGAAAAGTCAGCAATGGCAATTAAAAAAATTAAATTTTAAAAGTTGGAAAGGGCAAAGTGTTATGGATTAGGAGATGCTAAATGCCCTCAAAAGGACAAAGATCAAGTGAAAAAAAAGGCAGCATAGATTAATGGGGAGGAGCACTGAGGCCAAAAAGGATTAGGAGCAGGAACGGAAGGTGACAGGAGGGTGACGAAGGTGGATTCCCTTCTGTCACAAGGAAAGGAAATGTGCAGGTGACTGAAGTGCAGGGCTTCAAGAGTCCGTGGATACCAAAGTCCTCCTGTATGACATGGGTTTGACCAAACTGAGTGCAGCTGGTTAGAAAAAACAGCATTTTAACTGGGAAATTCCCCATCCAGCTTTTCCTTGTTTCCTGTCTCCACACAGCACTTGGACCAATACAGCTTAGGAGTTCAGAGACACCAGTAAGTTGCTGTGGCTTAACAAATAAATTCTCATCAGCTAAGCCAAAGAAATTGCTTGTCTGCATATTCTTAGCCCGTGGCAAACATGAAGTAATTCAATTCATGCACCAGGAAAGGAAGGTCAGCTAAGTCTCAATATCTTGGGCCTGAGGTGGACTATAAGGCTGCCCAGAAATAGTTATCATTGATCAGCTGACATGCAGTAACCTGTTTAATCTGTGATACATGATCATGTGCTTCAAGTCTATGTTATGCAGTAGGGGGTATGATTTCTCTACCAAACGGTCACAACAGATCACCTCTAAGGAGAACACAGCTATACAAATGAAGAAAATGTCCTTTGTCATGAGGAGTTAGCAGTAATAGTTGAAAGACACAGCTATGCAGAACAGTAGGCCCACATCAAGGTGCTCTTAGTGAGCAAGGATGTTAGGCCAAAAGTAACGCTCCTCATGGGGAACACTTGAAAAGGGAAGGGCTGCTTTTCTTAGCCATGAAACTTTAAATGAAATTCCTTGCCTCTCAGAAATGAATAAGGCTCTTCTACTCTTCTCCAGATTACTGTTTCAGGTCACCTACGGATTTGGAAGCATCTCCTGTAAGCTCTCCAGCTCTCCGTATCTTTGTGGATACTGAAATTCTAGCCAAATGCACATAATTCTGGAGCTGTTGCTCAAGTAGGTCTCTGACAAGGAAGAAGTGTCCTTATCCTTATCCCTTGAGCATGCAGCACTGGAGGAGCTGAGCTGAGAGGCTGTAGTTGATACAACAGAGCAAAGAAGACAAGGGAAAGCCTATGGCAGAACAAGAATTCCCAACAGGAATTCTGTTCCCCACCTCGGGGTGGGGAAAAGAATTACCTTTGCTGACACCGAGGGACATCATGGTTCTCAGAAGCTCCTTCTCCTTCAGCTCCTGTTGGAAGACAACAGGCCCTTGGGAAGAAATGGGAAAAAACAGATCAGTAGTTCTGATAGAAACATCTTTGAGGCCATGTGAGGGGGGAGCATGACAACGTCACAGCCACAGAACCTGAAGGAAGGGGAGACTGTGGCACGGACATGAGGGAGCTGTCATTTCTCCCCCTGGCATGTGCTTTCTGGGGCTGTTCAGTGCCCTGGGACAAGTGAAATCACAGGAACATGTTCTCCTCATCTGTAAATCCACAGACAGGTCATGACAGATGTGTCCTTCCAGGTCTGGGAGGACAGTGAGGGAGTGCACCTTAGCAAAGGTGCTTAGAACCACAGGACAGACCAGGATGCCTTTTGTAGTCCATAAAACAGCTGAGGCTGTACTGGTGTTGGCCCCCGCACTATCTTTCATCCTCTGCTTGTCTCTAAGAAGGTGTTCGCAACTCACACAGCCCCTAGCTTTTGCATCAAGCCTCATTCCTACCTTGGAGCCCTGGAGAGGAATAGAATAAGACAAAGGTGCTTTTCCCTGCTACCTGCCCAGCTCCCATCTCACAATTTAACATGACAGTGCAGTGTGTCCCCCTAATAGGCAGCACCCAGTGACTAGCAGTTGTAGAGCCTCTTCCAGTCAGCAGCCACCACCTTTTCTTTTCAGATCATCATCTCCCACATCAAAATTCTCAGAGCCACACAAATTGACATAGATACTACAAAACATTTTGTTGTCAAAGGTCGCTTTTTTCAAAGTAGCTGAGGCTGCTTGAGTGAACCTTGGTATTATCATCAAGCAGGAGTATACCACGGGTTCTTACAAGTTTCAGTTGGCAGAGGTGCCCTGTTATTCCCCTCAAAATACAGCAGAGGGACATCTTACTGCTTATCTAAGAGGGGGGAGTTAGAGGTTGCTCTTGAGGGCATCTAAGTCCCTCCTTGAAGCGACCAGTTAAGCAGCAAGGAGAAACTCTTGGATGTACAACCTAGGAGATGCTTTGAGATTAGGAATCTGCAGAGCACTGATCATTTAAGCGCAGTAGTTGAATGAAAAACAACCACAAAGTAAAAAGCAGGAAGAATTGGTTGCTTCAGATATTGCCAAAACAATATTTTTACGTAAGTAAACAAACAAAACAAAAGCAAAAAAACTCAAAGTGAATCCATTGGTTTGGGGTCTAGCAGAGCACAGGTTAACTCAGCACTTGATTACATTTTTATCTGAAATGGTTTTTTTTCCTACCTTTTGAAATTTCTCAGATAAATTGTGAGATAAGCCCTTGTTTCAGAAGAGAAAGTCAAGAGGAATTTCACTTTTACAACCCTTTTCTCCATTCTTTCTTTGCCAAAACTATCTGCTGAAC